TAACCTGACCTAACCTAGCCTAACATTGACCTAACCTGACTTAACCTACTACACCCAACTTGACCTGACCTGATCTAACCTGACCTCACAAAACGTTAACAAGAACTAATAGTATAAAACATTTGAATGAAAGTCCAACAGGTGGAGATATATGAAAGTCTATTAGGTGAGGATATATGCAAATCCAGCAGGTGTTGTGTGAGTTAGGTGTTGTCTGGGTCAGCAGGTGTTGAGTGGACCAGTAGCAGGTGTTGTCTGGGTCAGCAGGTGTGTGGGTCATCCGCAAGTACTGTGTGGGTCAGCAGCGGGTGTTGTGTGGCTCAGCAGGTGTTGAGTGGACCAGTAGCAGGTGTTGTGTGGGACAGCAGGTGTTGTGTGGGTCAGTAGCAGGTGTTGTCTGGGTCAGCAGCGGGTGTTGTGTGGACCAGTAGCAGGTGTTGTGTGGGTCAGCAGCAGGTGTTGTGTGGGTCAGGTGTGGTCAGCAGGTGTTGTGAGGACCAGTAGCAGGTGTTGTGTGGGTCAGTGTGGGTGTTGTGTGGGTCAGCAGGTGTTGTGTGGGTCAGCAGGTGTTGTGTGGGTCAGCAGGTGTTGTGTGGGTCAGCAGAGGGGTGTTGTGTGGGTCAGCAGCAGGAGGGGCGGGGGACGGTAGGCGGGGCGGGGGACGGTAGGCGAGGCGGGCCTGACTCCCATGCCTGCTGGGTCGTTGTGAATACAGAAAGGGCTGGACCAGATGACACGCGAACCACAGCCTCGGGACGATACTGCCACCCCGTCACCCCTACCCCATGTCAGCCCGTCAACCCCAGCCCTGTTAACCCCAGCCCTGTCAAGCCCTACCCTGTCAACCTCAGCCCCGTCATCCCCTATCCTATCAACCCCAGCCTTGACAACCCTAGCCCGTTAACGCCAGCCCCGTCATCCGCTACCCTGTCAACCCCAGCCCTGTCAATCCCTGCCTCACCTCTTGACAACATTGTCTCTTGGGCACGCACACACACACACACACACACACACACACACACACACACACACACACATCTATTTCTCTTCTTCCTTCTTATTTTTTTACAGTTAAGTTATATTCGTGCTTCACTGTTATGTATTTTGTCAACTCTCTCTTTCTCACTACGGTTCTTCGATAACCTGTGGCTCATCCAACCTTTCACACCTTTATAATTCTTCCCAGCAAGCCATCAACCAGCCAGTCATCAACCAGTCAGCCATCAACCAGCCAGCCATCAACCAGTCAGTCATCAACCAGCCAGTCATCAACCAGCCAGTCATCAACCAGTCAGCCATCAACCAGCCAGCCATCAAGTCCCATCAACCAGCCAGTCATCAACCAGCCAGTCATCAACCAGTCAGTCATCAACCAGCCAGTCATCAACCAGTCAGCCATCAACCAGTCAGCCATCAACCAGCCAGTCATCAACCAGTCAGCCATCAACCAGCCAGTCATCAACCAGTCAGCCATCAACCAGTCAGCCATCAACCGGCCAGCCATCAACCGGCCAGCCATCAACCGGCCAGCCATCAACCAGTCATCAGTCAGCCATCAACCAGCCAGTCATCAACCAGCCATCAACCAGTCAGTCATCAACCAGTCAGCCATCAACCAGCCAGCCATCAACCGGCCAGTCATCAACCAGTCAGTCATCAACCAGTCAGCCATCAACCAGCCAGCCATCAACCAGTCAGCCATCAACCAGAAAGTTGGGTGAGGACGTGTAAATAATCCCTCAGTGAATCATAATAACAGTAGTACTGATGGTGGTTAAGATAATGATCTGAGTGGTCAGCCTTCACAGTGGTTGCCTACAAGTGCTTACAAACAAAATCCACGCTTCTGAGGGCATGAAGTGAGGTGATTGGTCCTTGCCCCTGGTGTTTCTTGTGATAGGAGGTTGGCTCGGTATAGTGGACACACATGACAGCGAAAGATATAACAAATATATGGGTTTTATCGGTCATTTGGGGTGAAAAAGTTGACGCTTCCTTCGCCTCACCCAAAGAGGATCCATCTTCTCTCCGGTTCTTACTACAATCAGTGGTCACGACCGCCATCTAGGAGACTATGACAAGATTTTACCCCAGTGAGATTGTTGCATACACCAATAGTGGCGCTAAGTGATGGTAGGTCAGGAACCACTCCGTGTAATCTGTTGTCTGAGGAAAGAGTTTGAGCTGTGTTTCTCGTACTGTGCAGCCTCCATTGTGGTTTATATCTGACAGTCATTCACTTTCCTTTGTTAGTTAACTCTTCCACACAACATTTACTGTGAAACTCTAGACTAAGCAAACACCAGCGTCGAAACCCGCTCAATGTGTGTGTGTGTGTGTGTGTGTGTGTGTGTGTGTGTGTGTGTGTGTGTGTGAGAGAGGTGGAGACAGCTACACGGCTGATGGACGACTACTTGTGCTGGTTGTGTCAGGGTGATAACTTGTGTCGGTGTGGCTCATGTGTACTGCATATTATATTTCTAAGACTTACTGTACACGTCTTCTACAGAGTTACTGTAAGACATAAGAACTTGTGAATAACGCCGCACTTACTGGATAGGAGGCAGGCCGTGTGGTAAATTATCCCCTCAACTTGTTGATGAAGTTAACATAACTTACTCAAGATATTTGAAATAGTATCGTGTACAATCATACTATCACTGTTGACTCACACGTAAAATACGTCGCATTAAACGTAAAATTGATACACAAACACAAACTTCATCAAGAAAATATCCTGTTTATCCTAACCAGAGGAGAAAGAAAAGAAACTCCTTCAAAAGAACCCAGAGGACGAGACAACAAGAACCTGAGAAAGTGAAGCGGCAGCCGCGGGTCAGAACACTGCACGTTGGACAGATCAACAGTGGACTTAAGACCTCCATCACTGGATGTCACGAGACAGTAAATAACTCCTAGAATAAGACCAATTATTATCGGAGAGTTAGATGAAAATAGGATGTCTGGAAGTGTTCAACAGACAGGGAAGAATCAACACACACGACTGTGGGAATACACACACACACACACACACACAGGGAGTGAGGGAGGGGGCCACCTCCAGCCATCACTAATAAGAGGATCATAATATATCCCCACTCAAATTTCAGACTAAAGATCCAATAACCCCGGCCATCATCCACACAATGGGGGCGGGTCCCCCTCAGTGGCGGAGGGAGGGGAGGGGCGAGGAACAGGGGAGAGGGGAGGGAAGTGGGGAAGGTTGTGTGGGCGAGGCAGCGTGGTGGGGGAGAGGGGGTAGGGGGGGTAGGGAAGGAGTGTACCTGCACATGGCGGGATAGACCTGAAGGGATTTGCAGCCCCCCCCCCCCAACACACACTACCACCACCTGGTGACCTGTACGCTACCAGGTAGTGATCTTAACGCTGGTTGGCCGCTACTGTAGGTGTAGATCTACCTATCTCACTACCATCATTAAACACACACACACACACACACACACACACCATGTGAGGCCCCTCCTAACACCATCTGTGAGGGAGTTACTACACTACGAGTCTGCTGTTCAACACCTCAGCGCACAAGATCTACGTGACCTCCACTGTAAACATTAATCTGTATGTTCACTGTATGTTCCTTTACCTTTCTCTAATGAAGGCTTTTGTTAAACCACCAATGTATGTAATAAGTCATTTATGTCCAATGTATATTTTCAGCCTTCGGGCCGCAGAATTTTTTCAATAAACCGTTAATTATTATTATTGTTAGTATTTCTTACACACACACACACACACACACACACACAAACACACACACACACACACACACACACACCATCGCTGTTCACGGGATAACACGAAATAGATTCAGAGTTCAAAACGACTTTAATATCCCAAAGATGATTTAAGGTCAATTATAGTGAGGCTGTGAGGACCATAGACTATAGAGGTGGAATCTCTAGGTCAACGACGGATGACCTTTGATGATATAAGCCTACCAACAGTGCCGTGAGTTAACAGCACAGTAAACCCTACCAGTGTTGTGAGTTTACCTGACTACACATTCTCAAACGTTCCAATAAATTCCTCATAACTGAAGACAATTGAAGTATGTGACTAAACTTAAAAAAAAATAATGCAACCAATATGGCGACTGGATCACACTGAGACTCTACCTTAACTACATACATTCACTTAACCAGGTCTTTTCCTCAAATTTCTCGACTTAAAATTTTGGTCTCCTCGGGGAGAGTCTCAGCGTAATTTATATATCATTTTGGGATATAGTTTTGTGTAATTATCATATATGGTTCTATAATCGTTGATATATAAGGTGTAGTGATCTATAATCTGCTGTAAATTATCTTATTCATTTGAGTTGGATCTATATTTGCTTGTTTCCATAACCAATATAAGGCCCGACAATGCATAATATATAATTCATAATCTATAATGTACGCTGTATATTTCTCAGGGATATAATCATCTATTATCGTCATTATATTTATATAATCGTCTTTATACGATTATAATATTGCCGATATATTATTTAATTTACAAAGTGAACATACATATAAGCACAGCTACTACGATTAACCAATAGGCTGTTTTTTCTATAATTATACATAAAATAAAGAGTATAATCGACAAATATGATTACAGTGTATCCATTATATACCTAACCCTGTAATTGTTCCTCTTTCAGTAAATTTCAGGCAGGAGTAATTAATTTAGATTACTGTAATTATATTTTGTTAATTGAGAGTGTTTGGGAGATCTGGTTCAACTGTAGTTATTATATAATTACAGTATGATATGGAGTGTTCTTTTCTGTTGTTGCATTTGTTATTATTATTATTATTATTATTATTATTATTATTATTATTATTACCATCATCATTATCACTCACCAACCACAGGTACTCAACAACATACCTCGTCTATATGTTCTCTGTGAGGTTGAGACGACGATGGTGGCAATCAGTATGTATACAATTTATTAGAGATAGAAGACATGTGTGTTGTTGGACTGTACTTACCACCAGGTAGCCGCGACGTGTTGCCAGGATAACGCCGCTACCACCACAACCACGCACACCACGCCCCTCACGCTCTGCATCTTGGCTACTCGACTCTTGCTACTGTGGGAGGCGCTGGTGGTGTTGTTCCTTCCTGCCGAGGGTGAGGCTTGTGCTGGTGCTCAGGTAGTGGTGGTGGCGGTGGGTTGTAGTGGCAGCTGAAGGTGTTGGTAGTGATGCTAGTAGTGGTGAGTTGTAGTGGTACTCGAGGGTCTTCCTGGTTGTGGTGGTGACAGCAGGCAGCACAGTAGTCGGGTGTGGTGGTGATGAGGGTTGGGGATGTAGTAGTAGTTTCAGTAGTACAATAGTAGCGTCGAAGCTGCGGTAGTGGTTGGGACACTCGCTGGTGATGCTTCTGATACAAAACCGGATTTCTTTTTACAAGTTCTACGCTCTAGTCACACTTCCTCAAAAATTTCAGTGGTGGACGCTATCACCACACCATCACACACAAATGTCTGTCCGCGGAATCCTTTTTGTTGATTTTCTCTCAGACAATTTAGTCGTCTCCGTCACTGTGGGTGAAGGTGAGTCTTAGGTGACTACAGCAGTCCATCGTCGCGCCACAACACACCAGCACCGCAGCTATAAACAGCGTTGCTTTATCTCTTGGATGCTGACCTACACTCGGACAGAGGTACACAGATCTACGCGCGGAGGGTAAAGGGAAGGAACTACATCTTGGCATCTGGGTATCTTTTTCATACTGTTTCCGAAAACCACAGACGAGTCACAGTAACTCTCTAGTTCTTCCATTAGAGCCACCGTATATGCACCCAGGTAGACTACACGGCCCAGGAGAGTGAGCAGGACTTTGTGGTGAGCATCTTAAGCTGCAGTAAGGCGTGTGGCCCCACTACGTCGTACACTCACAACCACTGCACAGCAAATCGACACCCCGGTGGTCATCCTTCAAGAGAGTCAGTGACTGAGTAGTGATGTAAAGAGAGCTGGTGGGTGCAGAGGCCGTCGTTGTCGCAGCGTGGGTGAGACGCAGGCAGTGGCAGGAGGACAGGGTCTGGCCATCACCCGTCGAGGCCGCGGGCGTCCTCCTCCTCTACTGCCGCCGCTATGTGTTGTCCCCGTGTGGTGTTGTGCCGTGGTCCTCGTCTCTCACCCGATGCTGCAAGATAAGAAACAGACAAATTAACCAATGTTCGATGGAGTAACTTACCGTTATGTTAACCACCAAACACTACAACACAGAGACAAACCACATCCTCGGAATATATTCAACGTATACCTGCCAGGTGCTTGCACCAGTACGTATAACATTAGGCGCTATTAGCAGCTATCATTAATCCTCACTAACACTAAATATTTGGCTTTACCGAGTTTTACTATTCATTATAATTTATTGCATTGTAAATTGTGATGCTTAAGAGCTAGTAATATATAAAACTTAATGTTGAAAATGTAGAGTGTGAAGCGTTATCAGGGTTTAATGCTCGGCGCTGAGGTTCGTGATGTCTACCATCACGAATATATAATGTTTGGAGTCAGAAGCGAATGGTATTTATCGTGTCGGACAAGTGGTAGTTGTCTGGCAGGCAGGCAATTACTGTCATTTTACTGCGTCTGACAGGGAGGTCGACAAGGCGCTGTGCAACACGCTGAAGGACACACGTCGAATGAAAAGCCGACAGGGATACACAAGGGAGCGACTGGGGCACTGACGGGTTGTGATCACGACGCTCATATTGATAGTAACTGTGACGATACGCCAAAGAAAAGTTGATGAGACGCTGAGAAAAAAATTGACAGGTGCTGACGGGATAGTTGACGCGGGACGCTGATAGGGGAGTTGACGGGGCGCTGAATGAAAGATGAACAGAATGTCAATAAACGCCGACAGTGATAAAGCATCCGTAACCTCACAGACTTGTATACAATGTTTCGCTTTGACTGACGTTAGGGTAAACTTTCCGTATAGAATTCCGACGTTATTTTGGTTGCCATAACAGCACCTTAACCAAAGTGAGTGAGTTAATGCGGCGTTACAAATCCATTTAGTGAAGACAAAAACAAACCTAACGTACGAAGGTTTAAGAATTAACTCCCAGGAATGTTTACAAGATCTTAGTGTTAAATCTTATGCCTCTAGAAGACACCCAGTAGACGGTGACCCTTCTTCAGATCACAGGTTAGAAAGAAGGAAGAGAGAACGTTGATAAATACAGATGGAAGAGAAGCAAAGTGTCTATATAACAAGCCGGAACAGGAACTTTGTCAAACCCAATACAACAATACGGAAAAGATCCCCAAGTTTACGGTCCTATTGTGGGAAAGACGGTCAGCTGTCGTTAAATTTTATCTGGAGGGAAAAGTAGTTATGGGGGAGAGTTTCCACAATAAGGATCATTATGGAACAATAGTGTGGGGGTGGCCTGCTACACCCTCATTATGGTACACACCCCAGCATCCGTGTTATGAGTTGGAACACACACACACACACACACACTACTGGCTGGTCCCATGACAGTAAATTCATCCGTGACCTTTTTTTGCATTAATCAAATGTTTTCACGTTGTCATATTTCCCGTTGCTTATCCTCTGTTTTTTTTTTGGTCGAATTAACAAATGCTCCGTTAAAATGTGTTAGTATACATGTATAAATGTATAGATGTATACTGGTATGGTATATAAGTATACTGGTAGAGCATATAAACAGTCATATCCTCAACTAAACTTATTATGGCCTTCAGAAAATCACTTGTGTTGTCTGGTTACTGCTGACCCTCGACTTTCTCCATCACACTCCTCCTCCATCACACACCTCCTCCATCACACACCTCCTCCACCACACACCCCTCCATCACACACCCCCTCCATCACACACCTCCTCCACCACACACCCCCTCCATCACACACCTCCTCCACCACACCTCCTCCACCCACTCCATCCTCCACACTCCACCACACCCTCCACCCACCACACCCTCCATCACACTCCACCACACACCCCTCCATCACACCCTCCTCCACCACACACCTCCTCCACCACACACACCCCCTCCATCACACACCTCCTCACATCATCACACCTCCACCACACACCCCCTCCATCACACCTCCTCCACCACACCATCCCTCACCACACACCTCCACCCACACACCCCCTCCATCACACCCTCCCACCACACACCCTCCATCACACCTCCTCCTCCACCACACACACCTCCACCACATCCCTCCACACACCTCCCTCCATCATACACCTCCTCCACCACACACCCTCCATCACACACCCCCTCCATCACACCCACCACACATCCCTCCATCACACACCCTCCCACACTCCTCCCTACCACACACCTCCACCACACACCTCCATCACACACCTCCTCCATCACACCTCCTCCACCACACACCCCCTCCATCCCCTCCACCACACCCTCCACCACACACCCCTCCATCACACACCTCCTCCATCATACACCCCTCCACCACACCCTCCACACCTCCACCACACACACCTCCACCACACACACCTCTTCTCCATCACACACCTCCTCCACCACACATCTCCATCATACACCTCCTCCACCACACACCTCCTCCACACATTGCCTCCCACATACACACACTCATTTCTACACAAACCCACCCCCACTCCTCTCCCACGCACTCAGATCCTGGATAGGTGATATTGGTGGAGGGATAGGACAGGAAGGTCAGGTGATGGTGGAGGGATAGGGACAGGGAGGGTCAGGGGGTCAGGTGATGGTGGAGGGATAGGGCTGGAGGGCCTGAGTGATGGTGGAGGGATAGGCAGGAGGGCCAGGTGATGGTGAAGGATAGGACAGGAGGGCCAGGTGATGATGGAGGATGGGCAGGAGGGCAGGTGGTGGGAGGAGGGCAGAGGGCCAGGTGATGGTGGGAGGGACAGGGCAGGAGGGCCAGGGTGATGGTGGAGGATAGGGCAGGAGGGCAGGTGATGGTGGAGGGATAGGGACAGGAGGGGTCAGGGTGATGATGGAGGGATAGGGCAGGAGGGCCAGGTGATGGTGGAGGGATAGGGCAGGAGGGCCAGGTGATGGTGGAGGGATAGGCAGGAGGCCAGGTGATGGTGGAGGATAGGGCAGGAGGGCCAGATGATGGTGGGAGGGATAGGCAGGAGGCCAGGTGATGGTGGGAGGGATAGGGCAGGAGGGCCAGGTGATGGGTGTGAGGGATAGGACAGGAGGGTCAGGTGGTGGAGGATAGGGCAGGAGGGCCTGGTGATGGTGGAGGGATAGGGAAGGAGGGCCAGGTGATGGTGGAGGATAGGGCAGGGGGCAGGTGATGATGGAGGATAGGGAGGAGGGCATGTGATGGAGGGGGATAGGGCAGGAGGGCCAGGTGATGGTGGAGGATAGAGCAGGAGGGCCAGGTGATGGTGGAGGGATAGGACAGATGGGTCAGGTGATGGTGGAGGGATGGGCCCAGGTGATGGTGAAGGGATAGGGCAGAGGGTTGTGGGTGAGGGTGAAGGGATATAGGGCAGGGGCCAGGTGAGGGTGAAGGGATGACAGGAGGGTCAGGTGATGGTGAAGGCATAAGGCATGAGGGTCAGGTGATGGTGGAGGGATAGGACAGGAGGGCCAGGTGATGGAGGAGGGCCAGGACAGGGAGGTGGAGGTTCACCACAATTTCCGAGTGTTGGCGGCGGCTCGACAATGTGAGCTAAATTACGTGGTCACAACCATTGTGCGGGGGCGGAGGGTTGAGGGGCAGGCCGGAGCCATATGCTGACCACAGCCTGCCCCACACACCACACACAGGAGCCAACTACACCCCCAACCATCACCACACAATGGCCCCCAAATGTCCCCCACCGTCCATAGCCTCCACCAGGAACCTCCCCACCCCCACCCTACCTGCCCACCCACATCTAACCTATACCTACCCACCCATCATCTCATCATCCACAGCTCACTTGCCCACCCCCACCTACCGACACCTCACCCATCACCCTCATCCCACCTACCCATCCTTCCCTCCCCCCCCTCCCCTACAGTCCCATTCGTGTATTTCCGTTCATAATTTTCCTCCCCTGGCCACCAACACCCTTCATGAGGCTCAGTTGACCATAGCCATTATCTTGGTCACCTCCAGGTACTGTTTGCAACTCTCCTCAAGGTTTCATAACCCGGGTGTAGACACTTGGCTCTCACGGCGTCTCATAGATAGATAGATAGACTGATACATACATGCATACATACATACATGCATACCTACATACATACATACATGCATACCTACCTACATACATACATGTATTCACTAAGTCGACTCAACAAAGAGAGGCGATAAAAAGGTTCTATTATTATGACCGAGGTTCCTTGTCGCTCTCACCTGTACCTCTCAGCTAATTAACAACACCTGTGGTCGGGGTGTTTTAGTGACGATAACCCGAGTCTTGACCTGTGTGACCTCTCTCTCTCTCTCTCAGACACCATAATCTCTCATCTCTCACTCTTTTCTCACAATCTCTTCCCTACACCCCCTCTCCTTTTCCCCTGTTCCCCCGACACCACAACCTCCCACCTCCCCACAATCCTCTCTCTCTCTGCCCCTAAGACACCACAAATAGTTAATATTGGTTCATGTACAATTGTTCATGTGTGTAATAAGCAGGAAAATACCAGTAAGCTGAAACAAACTTCTCAAAAAGGCAGAGATGAAAAAAAATAATAAAGTAAAAAATATTAAACCCTAATTAGCTCTCTGCCAGTTTAAACTAATTTGCTATAATACTTACCTACACACGACAAGCAAAACACGATTTCAATTAACAAAGAGAACAGGTAGAAGCAGGTAGGAACTGTAGTGTACATTTAAATTATACAAGTGAATTATAAACTACTACTAAGACGAAAAATACATACATATACATACACAACTATACACTTTTATGTATAGGTCTAAAAAATAACCAACAGTAACGCAAAATTATGTCCTGTTCTCACTTCAAGCTTCCAATTGTATTATTTTAATCTTAAAGGATAATATTAAGAAATGTCCGACACGATGAGAGATAAAAAGGCATGTTGCAAATTGGAATAATAAAAGTCACCATCTTGTAACACTTGCCTCATATACTGTTTATTCCTCTTATATATTGCGTACGTTAAATACAT